TGCGTTCCCAGAAACTTGTTATACTTTCCTCTCTAAGAAAGGAAGCGTTACATGAAAGTGATAAATCGTTGTATGCAAATGAGCCTGGCATTCTGAGATATCCGAAGACTCGAACAACGGCGTGGCATTTTTCCCTAATCACTATTAATTATATGAAACCGACAACGAGGAAGCCTAGGGCCGTCGCGACCACAATTAGAGAATGTTATTTTGGTCGATTTTATGCATTTTCAGATTTTCTTGGGAACTGGCAAGAGGCATCCTGTAATATTTCCTTGCTCGAGTTTATTCTATTCAATATATTAAAAAAAAGACAAAATAAAGAAAGAAAATAAACTAAACAGTGTATCGATTCATCATCAAAACATCTCATCATTATTTCTACTGCTACTACTATTACAACTACTGCTACTTTTATCATTATTACTATTGCTATCATTATCATGATCATTCTTCTTTTTCTTCTTATGATTATCATTACCATTCTTATTATCATATTATTATCATTATTACCATCATCATTATCATTCCTGTCTCTAAAATCATTCCTATTCTTACCTATTCCACTATTATCATTTCCATCATCATTATTATCACTATTATCATTATTATTATTATCATTACTATTACTATAATTACCATTAATGTTATCACTGCTATTACCATTATTATTATTATCGTCATTGTTGTTATTGTTATTCTTATCAACACCATTATATATATATTTTTTATCATTGTTACGATTATCAATGTCATTGTTATCATTAATATTATTAGTAATAGTAGTACTATTGGTATTACTATTATTATTACTACTACTATTAACATTATTATCCCTAATTTCATCTTTTTCACTTTAATCATTATCATAATCACTTTAATCATTATTATCATTACTTTCATCCCTATCATTGTTATTACTATCATCATTATTATCATATATCACTATCGATCGCAATGGTCAGCTTGATCGCAATTTTCTAATGGTTATAGTATGAATAATTAAAGAATCGGACAAATCATCATTTGGTACTTCATCGACACTATGTGCTGAAGTATTAATTGCTATAAAAGAAATAAATGTTTCTACCAAAAAAGACATCTATTGTGCTGCACGTTCAAAATATGTCATACACTCATGACATAGTTATGAAATAGTTACAGCAAAAACTAACATTGCGTTAAAAAAAATGCTATAAATATGAAACAGCATTTTCCAAATCAAAACAGACATCATCATCGAGTTAGTCATCGTGTCAACAAGGAACTGGAGACAGTGAAGTCACAATCTTCTGTCAATCTTCATAAACTATTTATGAAATAATTATTACTTTAATAATGTTTTACCTGAAGATGGATTCCAGAAGGATTCCGAAACGGTCTCATATACTTCAGTAAATTGAATTTGTCCATTGTGGGTTTTTTCTACCAATACTTACTAGGAATAAACATAAACAATAATAATCGCCAGCATTATAACTACAAGCATTTACTGTAATGTAGATCATGCACATTAAGCTGCACAGTGTAATAAATTGGCTACAACAGGATAATACTAAGGATTTATAATGCTTAGGTTGCTACATGACTACAGTATGTATAAACGTTTTTTAGAAAGGAGGGTGGATTAGGAGAATGTACCTTGGCTGAAATATTTTCACATTTAAATTACGTTCAATTCTGGGAAAGAAGAAGGATACTCGGGACAAACTTTAGAACACTCTGATTTGCCTTTTTATTTTTATTTCTTTTATTTACTTATATGTGGTATTATATGAACTTAATTAAAATATTTCTGAATTATGGTACCATCAACATCATCTTATAGATAAAAAGAGTATTGGCTGATCATATTCCAGAGTACGGATCATATGTGATATATATATGTATATATATATATATATATATATATATATATATATATATATAATTTCTTATTTGATTTTTTTTCGAGACTGAGCGCAGTATAATTGAAATCTTTAAGAGAACGCAACGATCACTCCAGTTTGAAATTTCCTGAAGATGGAATGAGATTTACGGCCTTCCAAAATCCATATGTACTTCAGCTTATTGACGTTTTTTATTTATTAGGATATAAATGCAGATTTGTTGCCAATTTTAAAGAAATTAAAACTCATTCGCGCTGGGAATGACACAATTGAGTCAAGGGAATCAGAGAGATGGGTGTAGGACACAATTAATGTTATATATGTATATGTATATATATAAATATAAGTATGTATATATATAAAATATATATATATGTGTGTGTTGTGTGTGTGTGTGTGTGTGTGTGTGTGTGTGTGTGTGTATACATCCATGTGTATATGTGCACACGTGCGTAAGTATTTGAGCGATGGCACTGACTTGAGCAAGACCGCAATTTTGTTTTGGGGTCATCCATAATTTTCATCACACGACTACCACCCACCCCAAAGTGTACGCTCGCGGAAAAATTAAATGTTTCAAGATCTCCCTACGTCTAATCGATTCCTATTTTGTGACTCTACGAAAAAAAATATACGAATTCAGTATAGAGGTATGTCGTTAGACTGCTCTTTCACTAATAAAATCAAGAGTCTGATGTCAGACGAAGAGCCTACGGATTTTTTTTTTTTTTTTTTTTTTTATTGACTACAGATGGTTTGATTCAAAAGAAAAGCATTCAAAGCAATATTGAAATATATCCCATGTTCAAATAAAACAAACATAATAATTGCTGAAACCATCCTGGTATGAACCGAGATGATGTGGCAGACCGTACGTCATCACGGCGGAAAATTTCATACGATGTCAATTCAGTTTAAATGGGCATTTGCATTATTGCCAATTGCAAACAATATAAAAAAAAACGTGACCAAAATTATCATTTCAGAGGGTCTAGTTGCTGTTTACAATTTTTGGTTTTCGCTTGACCAGTTCCTTTGCCTGCCTTGTTTGATTTAAATGGGCATTTGCATTATTGCCAACAGCAAACAATATAAAAAAAAACGTGACCAAAATTATCATTTCAGACGAAGAAGATCGTGTGATGGAAGTTTTATGACATAAAGCACAATTATCAAGAGACCTGAAAGGATTAACGTATATCAGTACATGTCCATACTGCTTAAAAAAAAAATCCTTGGTATATGCCCTGTATTAATACACAAAATATATAAGAATACATAAAGATTTTCTATTATAGGTATGATGTCTGAGTCAAAAGGTCTTATATATGAGGCTGGTGTCAAATTTCACCATTGCTTAACCTCTGGTGACCTTGACCTTTGCTTTGAGAGGTCATGCATGTATGACCATTCATTTTGTAGCTTACTCCCTAAGCTACAAAATAAATGGACATTCATGACTATATGTTTAGTTTAGAAGTTATTGCTATTATAGTTTCCCCTAGCATTAATTTTTTATGCCTCCGAGGGTGTTGATAAAATACTGAATAACTCCATCACTGCCGAGCTGCAGCATGTCAACCTTCTCTAAAAAGGTGTCCCATGAGAGCCCCACAAAATTCGAGTGAGTGATTTAGGGACCCTCTCGATCCCCAAAATGCTCCTTGGCACCAGGAGTAAATCACTTACTGGATATTTGTAGGGGCTCTCCTGGGACACCTTTTTAGCGAGGGTGGACATGCTGAAAGCTAGACATCACCAGAGGCAGAATCAGCCTTGCAACACACTCCCTATAAATAGTCGTAAATGTTTAGGTAAATGTTCTAGATAAATCGTTTACAGGTTCCATGTCGCATTTTCAATTGTTATACATATAAAACATTTTCTATAAAGAGATGCGGGTGCATTTTATGTTATGGAATGTTACATTATTGTCTTAATAATACACTTATTGTATATTGTTTCATACAAGTGCAATGAACAAGATAGTATCGCAGGGAGTCCTATAATCATCAGACTGACCATATCCACTGTAACTGTACTCTAATATTCATCTGTTTATGATAGTGTATGGTTCAATTTTATCATTTATATCCGTTTTCTTCATCTTCTAATGATTAGAAAATGGCAGAAATATTTCTACGGAAAAGCGGCCAATGCTGCTAGCAACACCGACATGCCGCGATATTGATTCCACTGATGGATCATCATTTTTCATATTCAGAAAAGTGTACGCCTGGCGTTTAACCCCCCCCCCCCCACCCCCCCCTGTGTAGGGTTTGTACGCTCGTGATAAGGATGAACATTTTGGATGCCTTACTGTGAGGTGTTGTGTGGCAATACCGTATTTATTTATGCATTCATCTTTCGATGCAAAATCCCTTGCCATATGTTTTTAAATTATTCAGAATTATCATCAAAACATAATTAGAAGATAGGTCTATGTCATCATTCAGTGCTAAAGAAATGTAATATTGCTTTGTATTTATTTTTTATTGTTAGTCGTGCAAATTATGTGACGACCTTTCCTGCTCTATTCATAGATATAATATGATATGCAATATTATTTCTTTAGGTTTAAACTCTCCAATATCGGTTACAACTCTTCTAAGAGACTCATGTAGATGTTTATAACCAAGGTATTTTTACAACATATTTTCTGTCAGGCAGTTGTAAAGTAACTGGAACATTTTTTGCTTTCTGTTGTGTATATCACTATAAAATCCTATATTTTCAGATATTTCTTTTTTGATAACCACAGATAGGTTGTGGCTTAGTGTTTCACATTTACATAAAACGCTCTATGACTGGGGATAGCTTACACCCTTGTCACAGTGCCCAAGGAGTCTCTATGAACACTAATATTCGTGTAGTGATGTTTCTAACTAGTCCAAATTCAACCAGATTTGTTACTTTCTACTCCTGTTCCGCCACCCACCACTGGTATGCTTTAGTACCATTACAGGATGTTAGCATTTGAGGCATCTGATCGGTTCACCTAACGGTAACTGAATATCTGTCTCTATGCCAGTTCTCTACCTATATATATTTATATATATATATATATATATATATATATATATATTGTGATACATATTAGTAAAAACGCTATTTTCAATAATTTATGTATTTATTATTACATTTGTTAAAAATGTTTGCGCATTCACAGACCGGATTTCCAGTCTTTTGGTGGGAATACAACTTGCAACGAAGGCATTATCTTCCTCCATAACCACCGCTGGATCCTCCGCTTCCTCCGGCCCCAAAGCCTCCAGCAGAACCACCATGGCCTCCAGCAGATCCACCAGCTCCAAAGCCTCCAGCAGAACCACCATGGCCTCCAGCAGATCCACCAGCTCCAAAGCCTCCAGCAGAACCACCATGGCCTCCAGCAGATCCACCAAGCCCTCCAGCGGAACCACCATGGCCTCCTGCCCCAAATCCTCCACCAGAACCACCATGGCCTCCTGCTCCAAATCCTCCACCAGAACCGCCGCTTCCGAAACCTCCACTACTGCCAGCTCCAGCACCGCCGTGTCCACCAGCTCCAAAACCACTGCTTCCTCCATTACCACCACTGTAGCCTCCGCTGCCTCCGGCTCCACCACCGAAACCTCCAGCTCCGCCACCGAAACCTCCGTTGCTTCCAGCTCCACCACCGAAGCCTCCGCTACCTCCAGATCCTCCACCGAAACCTCCAGCTCCTCCACCGAAACCTCCAGATCCTCCACCGAAACCTCCGCTGCCTCCAGCTCCACCAAGGTTGCCATTGAGAGTTCCTTTGCCGAGGAAAGTACCAGCAAGTACACTGCCTCCGCTGCCACCAGCACCGCCGTTACCGCCATCGTAACCGCTTCCGCCAGCGCCAGCGCCGCTACCACCGAATCCTCCAGCGCCACTGGCACCGCCATGTCCACCAGCGCCGCTTCCGCCGAATCCGCCGGCACCACCAGCTCCGCTGCCGCCAAATCCGCCAGCACCGCTAGCACCGAATCCGCCGGCACCACCAACGCCGCTGCCACCAAATCCTGCAGCACCACCGGCACCGCCATGTCCACCAGCACCGCTTCCTCCGTCATATCCACCGCTACCGCCAGCGCCGAATCCGCCGGCACCACCAGCTCCGCTACCGCCAAATCCGCCAGCACCGCTAGCACCGAATCCGCCAGCACCACCAGCTCCGCTACCGCCGAATCCGCCAACATCACCAGCTCCGCTACCGCCAAATCCGCCAGCACCGCTAGCACCGAATCCGCCGGCACCACCAACGCCGCTGCCACCAAATCCTGCAGCACCACCGGCACCGCCGTGTCCACCAGCACCGCTTCCTCCGTCATATCCACCGCTACCGCCAGCGCCGAATCCGCCAGCACCACCAGCTCCGCTACCGCCGAATCCGCCAGTACCGCTACCGCCGAATCCGCCAACATCACCAGCTCCGCTACCGCCAAATCCGCCAGCACCGCTAGCACCTCCGCCGGCACCACCAGCTCCGCTACCGCCGAATCCGCCGGCACCACCAGCTCCGCTGCCGCTGAATCCACCAGCACCATCGTTACCACCGCCAAATCCACCAATGCCACCACCTCCACCACCGCCGCCGTGGCCTCCACTTCCTCCACTTCCGCCGCCACCATATCCTCCGGAGCTGGGTTTGTCAGCCGTTGCTACGTACACGGCGGCCATGACGGCAGCCATCATTACCTGTTGAGCATAAGGGACATTAAGTGTATCATTGAATTTGTCTTCTGACTACAATATATATATATATATATATATATATATATATATATATATATATATACACACATATAACTTAAAATCATCTGTAAAAACACAATGAACTATAATGAAAGCAAAAAAAATGAAATTTCTGTTTTTCTTTCGTTCATTCTCTTTTTGCTTTTGCTTTTCTTATTCTTTCTTTAACGGACGCGAAAGGAAGCAAGAAAGAGAAAACGTTTTCTCACCAAAGGTCGGCGGAGGATCATGTTGAGAGGAAGTTTGGGCTTTCACCGTAAACGAAGAATATGCCCCAAGTGTGTTCATTGCCCTC